TCATTCAACAACTCCTTAAAGTACTCCTTCCATCTTCTCAGCACACTTTCCTCACACGTGATTACATTCCCCTCTCTGTCCTTAATCAACCTCACCTGCTGCACATCCTTCCCAGCTTGATTTCTCTCTCTCGCCAATCTATACAACTCATTTTCTCCTTCCTTTGTGTCCAAACTCTCATACAACTCCTCATATGCCTTTTGTTTGGCCTTGGCCACTTCCCTCTTCACCTCCCTTGTCCTCTCTTTGTACTCCAGTCTGTTTTCTTGTGTTCTCTCACTGTCCTATCTCTTCTTTGCTAATCTCTTTCTCTGTACACTCTCCTGGACCTCATCATTCCACCACCAGGTCTCTTTGTCTTCCTTTCTCTGCCCAGAGGACATACCTAGCACCTTCCTACCTGTCTCCCTAATCGCTGTAACTGTGGTCCCCCAATCATCTAGGAATTTCTCAACACGGCCCAGAACTGCCCTTACTTCCTTCCTGAAGTCTTCACAACATTTCTCTTTCCTTAACCCTTGTAAGGTTTTCGGGTCTAGGTGACCCCTGGGCCTGTGTACAAAAAATGCGAAGGACTGCACAAGGGTTACTTTCCACCACTTGATCTTCTGCTCTGTCTTTACTCTCTTCCTTTTTTTCACCTCCATCGTCATCTTGCACACTACCATCCAATGTTGTATGGCTACACTCTCACCTGCCACCACTTTACAGTCTCTAACCGCCCTCAGATAACCTCTTCTACATAGAATATAATCTATCTGTGTGGACCTGCCTCCACTCTTGTAAGTCACCCTGTGTTCCTCTTTCTTTTGGAAATCAGTGTTTACCACAGCCAATTCCATTCTCTTTCTACCACTGTCTGTCCTTCCAAGTTTCTATCCCTAACACCAAACCTGCCCATCACTTCCTCATCTCCTCTGTTCCCTTCCCCTACATGACCATTAAAGTCTGCTCCAATCATCACTCTCTCTCCCCTGGGGATGCTCTCTATCACGACCCAGCCCAGCTCATTCCAGAAGTTCTCCTTTTTACGCGTCCCATCAGCCGGGTGATGATTAAGTCATGTAAACAGTTTGGAGTGGGTCAGTCATTCCGCTTTGCTGTGCTGCAAGTGCTCGTCTCCAAGATGTGCTGAAATATGGGCTGTATGTATTCCTATGGGAGAAGCAAAAGTCAACAAGAAAAACCATCAACGTTGAGGGATATAAAAGCAAGCATCCATCTCTATTAAAGTACCCAGTTTATGTTAGAGGACCTCAATCCTCTTCGGACTGTAAACTGGTCCTGAAAATACGCACAAAATGTCTACTCTTCTCTGCATCATATCAGCTAGTTTTCTACTTTTCCCTGTAATTGTACCTACATTCAAAGTTCCAAACTTCAGACCAACACTTCTATCCTTCCTCTTTTTCTTGTCATGTCTGTGACGGTGGTCACCCCTCCAGTGGTTCCGGAGGCAACGGGGGCCCCACCCCCCGTGGTTCGGAGGGCGACGGTGGTCACCCCTCCAGTGGTTCCGGAGGCAACGGGGGCCCCACCCCCCGTGGTTCGGAGGGCGACGGTGGTCACCCCTCCAGTGGTTCCGGAGGCAACGGTGGCCACACCCCCCATGGTTCGGAGGACGACGGTGGTCACATCTCCAGTGGTTCCCAGGGGGCTTGGGGACGTTGCACCCTCCGAGGTTTTTGTTTCAGTGACTGACGCTTCCTCAGCAGTTCTTGGTCCGGCTGGGAGAGCCTTTGTGACTAGTGGTATGCCTTGGTCTAGGGAAGGGACTCCTTACCAGAGACACAAGTTCCCTAGACCAAGGTACAAAAAAGGGCCAGGCCAAGTATAAGGGTACTTGGGCCTGGAATTTTTTTTTTTTTTCTTTTCTTCCGTTTTTCCCCTTGTGCCTAGTTTTTTTTTCATGTTTTTGAATAGGCCTTGTTTCAGTTTCTGTTTTGGTATCCCTCCCACCCAACCAACCCAGAGGGTTGGTGGTAGGCTTTTGGACGTCCGGGGAATGTCCATTAGGAGGGGGGTACTGTCATGTCTGCCTGTTGTGGGGTAATCTGTGGGATCACACTCACCTGTTGGTAATTAGCTTCACTTGTGTCACCTGGTGTTCCCTGTGTATATATACCCCTCTCCCTCACTCTGTCGTGGTTGGATCATTGTGATGTGTTAGATCAGTGTGATTCTGAGTGTTCTTGGATCATTGTTCAGTTCGTCCTGTCAGGCTGTTCGTGTTCGTGAGTTTCCTACTCTGTGTTTCCTCGTGTTCCGTGTTTCCTCGTGTTCCAAAGAGAATTCCATGCCATTCCATGGTATGGAAATAGTTTTAAATTGCATTATTGATTTGACAAAGGTTTTACACCGGATGCCCTTCCTGACGCAACCCTCAGCATTTATCCAGGCTTGGGACCGGCTCTATAAAACACTGTATTGTGCACCCTAATGGCCTTCTGTTAATGAAAATAACATAAATCTGACTGTAAGCATTTCCCTGCTGTACTAATATCAGTTTGTAAAAGATAGTATTGCCACAACACTATGAACAGAATGGCATCATTCAGATGCCACTGCAGAGATGTCATTTATTATGTATTTTTCAGACTATAAGGCGCAGTTAAAATCCTTAAATTTTCTCAGAAATCGACAGTGTGCCTTATAACCTGGTGTGCCTTATGTAATAATTCTGGTTGTGCTTACTGACCTCGAACCGATTTTATAAAGCCAAACCACACAGCGCATCACACATGATGGCACACAACTGAAGGACACTGGGAGCACACAATGACGTTTAACTCTGTTATCCCAATTAGAAGATGCTCAACAACAATTGTTACAGTATGGTTGTGTAACCCAAATCCGTGCAACGTCACGTCGTGCCTCCCAACACCCGGAGACTTTACGTTGTGTTTTTGTATAGTCGATTTATGGTGTGATGCAGGATGACTCAGACGCATGGCTGTCAATTTTTTTCTCTCATTTTTTTATCAATACAGACAAAACACACACACTCTCTGCAAAACAACATCCACACTTCTGCATGAAACAGCGTCAAAACAACAATACGGTGACCATCCGGAACAAAAATAATGACAACCACCTGACTCTGAAGGGGCGAACAACAACAGCGTCCTCCAGTGTCCAACTTAGGTCACGACCATTTTCCACACATCTTCATCTCTATTGATCTGCGACTCCATGCGCGCCTATCTCATCAATATTGTCAAAACCCAAGTGAAGCAAACTAATTCAGGGCTTGCCATCCTTCTGGGTGGATTAACCAAAGAATTCCAACCGCTAAATATTGGTGTTAACAGTGCGTTTAAAGTTAAATTACGAGCTGCGTGGGAGCATTGGATGACAGAAGGCGAACACACATTCACCCAAGACAGTGAAGCAACGCCGGGCGAGTTACGCCACTATTTGCCAGTGGATCGTGGATGTCTGGTCTAAGATATCAGTCTCAAATGTCGTCCGAGCTTTCACGAAGGCCAGAATCGTCACTGAACAACAAATTAACAGCAACGAGACTGACTCGGATAATGACGAAAGGGATCCAGACGTGCTTGATTGACTGTTTTGTTACGCTTAATGCACCTTATAACCCGGTGCGCCTTATGTATGAAAATAAACCCGTTCATTGATATTGTGCATTATATACTAAATACTTTCTATTTTAGACATACAATAACTGCACAAAATGTCAAAAACAATGTACAGTACATTTACACTTAATGTACACTGTCTTGGATTTAGCAACATGTAGTGATGAAGTTGCATGTTGTTGTTAAATTCCCTGTTTTGAAATAATCATAGTGATTCACTTCTGACAACGTATCACTTACACAAATTCATATACCATCCATCCATCCATTTTCATCCGTTACCGGGTCGTGGGGGCAGCAGTCACCACCCAAATCACATTGCACTGCACCAACCCCCCCAAACCTTCCTGCAGGTGGTGAGTCCACTGGAAGGTACCAACTGCCCTAACTGGAATTCGAACTTGCCCAGGAGGTGAACCCTGGGGTTCCACACCAATGACAGAGACATTGCCTCTGGGCCACCAAATTCATATACAATTACTGCAATTTGAAAAGGTATACCGAATCTGATACAGTGCATATTGAACAGGTGACAAATTACTGGATTTTTAAAAAGTGTATTGCTGGAAAGGGCATGCATTTTAAGTTATTTTGTTCTTGAGTGAAAAAGAGTTGCGTTTCTTTTATCATGAACGTGTCAGCACCAGTTTGTGGGATTTGTAGTGGAACCAATGGTTTTACCAAAACACTGCAGATTAAAAACAAAACATATATAAAATTACGCTTATATGTTTTCACAAGTTCAGGCCTCAATTTATTTAATTGATGAGTGGATATTCCATAAATGGGAAGCCATACTGACTGATAAGGACTGAGATACGTTTCTGCCTGTTTTATAGCAGTAGCCAAAAGGCCACAATATACAGTCCCTACAGTCAGCACTTTTCTAAGACTGCATCTAAGACCGATCAATTCAACCCCTGCTCAGCTGTGTAGTCCCTTTTGGTTGTTCCTACTCACTGCTCTGCATCTGTTCACAATGGGTTTGAGTTAAGAAACATGCACACCTTCCCTTCATTAGTGACTGACACAGAAAGTAGATGAGTAACTGATAAAGCCTACAAATGCAAGTTGATTCCTGCACATAAAAAAGGTAGAGACACATGTTAGAGTGATCTTTATGGAGTGATACACAAGTACGTTTTGATTGCACAGAAGCATACATGGTGATTGGTGGAGTACTAGAGCACTTTAAAGCCAGAGGAAGTGCTAAAAAGGGCAGGAAAAGATTATAGGCATCTGTTCCAAATGAGATAAACACTACACTGAAAGAGTACGAGCAAGCTGTTGCCACTTTGCAGTCTGTCACTGTTATTTTCTCACACTTTGCTACAGATGTGGTGCCAGGATAGGAATTGAGCAATACTTGAGTTACAGGAAAAAAACAAACAAACAATATACCTTGTTGAGCTCATATTTGTAGGGGATCTTGAGCATCTCTGTAGCTCTGATCATAGCCTGCATGGCCGTGAAGATATTCTGGTAGACCAGTTTGGTGAAACCTCTTTTGTCCTCGTCAGAGTAACCGGTACCGTGGATGATCCTCATCTGTTTAATGAATGTGCTCTTTCCACTCTCACCAGTGCCTGACCACAACATAGTCAAAGAAAGACAACAAATCAGGATTTAGCAAAAAAGACATTCACAAAAATTACGGATTTAACGTCTACAGTTGTGTGAGCACAATCTGACCCACAACATTTAGCGACTACTGCTAATGACTAATGCATCTCTTCCCTTGTGTGTAACCAGTAATACTGAATTGCACTGTTGGGCATCCACTGCAATTTAGTATGACTGTAACACTCATTGTTATATACTGATATTTATGTGCGTATGAAACGCATTGATGCGTGAGCAAATGTTGGCTCTGTTCACACAGCAGGCAGTTATAGCATTTCTGATGCCATTACCTAATGCATTAGGCGCCGGGTTAATTGTCTTATTCTTGTGTGAGCCTGGAGGGAAACATGAGGACTGAAACGGTTTACATGTGAGGTTAAAGCAATGGTTCCAACGTAGGGGGGCGGGCATCGACATATTGCAGGTGGGGCACAGCCTGGCATGGACGAATCCAAATTAAATCAATACAAATAAACAAAACCAAGGATATATACACAATAATGCACACTGTGAAATGTAGTAGTTGGATAACTCTGAAGTCTACAGGATTTGATTTGATGATTGTTCTAAGTCCTTAATCCCATTAAGTGAACTTCATTTTAAACATGACCTCAGATGTTCAATAGTATGAATTTTACAAACCTTTATTCTTCTTTTGTGATAATACTGCATAGAATAATATTATTATATCAAATGCATTATGTGGTATGGGGGAAGGCTTCTTAATTTACTATCGTCCACTCAGCCATCAGGTACATTTTGGAACACTTGGCAATCACTCAGTCCTTAAATGCATCACAGCATCAAATGCATGGAGCTGCCTTTTTCCAAATGGGTTATGATACAAAAAATGATGTATGCTTCAATATCATTATATTATACATTCAATATCATTATATTATACATTATAATATATTATATATTATATTATCATTATAAAAAATGAATGAGAGGAGAACAGGGGAAATTAATTCACTGCTAAAAGCTTAGCAGTACCTGATGAGTGAGTTATTACAGAGCGAGAGAGAGAGAGAGAGAGAGAGAGAGATAGGGATCGGGATTTTACTCTTGGGCAAGAGACAATGCATTTCACTAATACAGTTCATAGTTTTTGTGCAGTAGTCAAAACAGTTTATAGCCCTGTCTATGAAGATTCTCAGTCATCCAGGTCATGGTTAAGTCGTTTCATTGGAACTGAAGAAGGTTCTAGAACTGAAGAAGCCTCTTGGATGAGAGGTGAAACGTCTTTTAGAAAATTCACGTCCAGTTGCCTAACAGAACTTTCAAACCAGTTTATAGCCCTGTTACAGGGTGTTGTTAAATGACAGGGTCTGCTTGGATATGCTTTTTTTAAGGGGAAAACCTGTATAAATGTTGCAGAATTATAATTAATGGCAACGATGGGACAATCATTTTGCATCCTGGTTACCTTGGAAACTAAAAATATTCTTAAATGTATTCTATTCTAATTACTGTAACTGTGGGAATTCTTTAGAATACATGCGAGGTTTGTTTAATTTAGAGGTAAAAGTTCTAAAACAGACTTATTTTTATTTGAACTGTCAAACTAGTTGAAGTAAAATTAGCTATAGGTCCTTATTCTACCTTTGTTGTTTGTTTAGTCATAGATCACATGACACCTACCTTCATTTGACAATTATCTTTTGTTTGGCTAGAAGGCAGTAAATATAAACCTGTTAAGTCACCACCAAGGTTGTTTTATGCTACTTTTTTTTGCTTTTCGAATCACATCAATTTTAGGATTACATGCCATCAGTTTCCTCCATACACCTGTTTTTCTGTAACTACGAACATGTGTGTGAAAGGGAGGGCCTTTTTGAACTAGGTTCATTGCTCTTTCGAGGACCACAGTTGGCCTGTGCTACTTTTGTAAATGAATGACATTTAAAAAATAATTAAGCAGATAAAGACAAGGATTATAATTATTCACGTCAAGCTCTTCTGGCTGTCAACATTTGTTGGACAGAGTGGTGATAAAGGACACAACTACATGTGTTAAACACACCTTAGCTGTTATAGAAATGTCAAAAATGTTGACACTGATTGTTACAAACTAAATTCCCCTTACAATGACATTAAGATCAGATTTAGTTTGTCAAAATCTGGAAAAGTTGATGGGTGTGAAACCTTTAAACTAGTGTTACGTGCGCATTAGTATCTAAAAAGGAGAAAACTGTCGCAATGACAGTGTTACAATGGATGCATTATTTTATACTTTAGAACTGTAATTTCAAAACATTGCCAATAGTTAATATTAATTAATAAATAATATGATAAAAGAATAATAATTATAGGTGCGAATGAGTCACAGGAGTTATATACAGAGGTGACCAGCCTGGGTTTGAGATTTTTGGGTCAGCAATGGACGACACTACTTTTGGTCCGCTTATTTGTCCTTAAGATTATGGCTCATTTGCAAAGTAAAATGAACTTGAATGGATATTAGTGTATTTGTTAAGTACTATTTGCAACGCTGAGAGAGATTGGGTAGTGAAGAATCCAAATCCTGGCTTCACTGTGTGTGAAGGAGCATACACTTTTCAAAGTAATATCCAAAGAGCTGTCAAAACTGAAGTATGGCTCATAAACTATTCTAGCTACTACTGTAGCTATTTTTTAAATTTACTCAACACACACTTTTATATTATAATGTAATAAATGTGTTTAATGATAATTAAAAATATTTGTTTTTAATTTAAAAGACAAAATTTGCAACTGGAAAGGTTTGTTTTCATGATTAACGGGAAACAAACACATAGGGATTTCCAAGACCAATGCTCTCACTACAAATGCATGAGATAATGGAGCCAAAAGGAGCAAAACACATTGAAAACTTCCTTCAGTATACTTGACCACAAGTGGTATGAGTGTCCTGATCCAACATAAAACATGGACACCAAAGAAAACACACAACTCCTTATTGATTCAGAGGCTGTGTGGAAGATAATGTTTGACTCACTGACATGACTTAGTTTGCCATAAAGTGGAGTATGTGTTTGTTTACTACTGAGCATCATGGTGTTCCAAAACTGTGAGCAGTCAGATTACCACCTTCCTATTGATGCTAAACTGAGTTCTCATTGTTTTACAAACAGGATTTTGAATTTTTAAAGTAATAATAATTCATGATGTTGCTGCATTACAAGTGAATCATACATGTGGTAAACCACTACAGGAAACATTTATCTTTCTCCAACATAATGGATCTCACCAAAGCTTCTCAATGTCTCCATATTCAAAGACATTAAGTGTACACATTAGAGGCTTGCTGCATAACCACTCTGAAATGCAATAGCCTATATAGATAGGGCCTACTGATAAGCACCTGCTGCTAAAAAAAAATAATGCTGGGTGTAAATGCTGTTCATTGAACATACTGTATAAAATAATATTTAAGGGTTGCTGTTGGCATTTGATTAATGAGTAAGCTATTAGGTATTAAAAGAGATTATAGGTGACAATGAAACTAGTATTTGTCTGTTTTCAAAAAGAGAGGTCACTTTCAGCTCACTCAAATCCTGTTTAAGGGGATTCATTCCAACACAATTAAATACAGGCAAAAGGGAAATGTTCCTCATTTAACCTCAAATTACCAAATTGTCAAGGTGCAAAAATAGACTCTTAAGATCTGGGTTTTTGACCACATTTATAAGGTATCTTTAATGCATCTGCTCAAGAACAGAGAGGAAAGGAGTGGAGTGTTTTAGCATCCATCCACTGCTACAGTCATCACATTTAATGGGCTTTTTTGTTGGAAATCTATTTAAAACTGAATGGGGATAAATGGGGACATGTTTTCCTCGTATCACTTCATTATAACTGCTACTTCTTAAAGCCTAGTGGTGACCAAACCTTTAAATTTACAACGCCACACCTGTTGGCAGAGGTACCCACAATATAGTCCTGTTCTTATATATCTTTAAACTAAAATCTGACTGGGACTTCTATCATCCATACCTTAAGATACTTGTTTACCATCTACAATACAACAACACAACAATTCATGGGTACCATCTACCATCTAGCACATGACTGACAAGCTGACTGACACAATTGTCAAATGGATAATGAGGGACTGTAGACTAATTAATATTGTTGAGGACGTCTTCAACAAAGTTTTTAAAGTATATCTCAATGCATTCTGCAAGCCATCTTTAATTTTGGAGTTAATTTTTTGAAATAGTTCCATCATTTGGATTGGCCACAAAAAAAAAAAAAAAAAAAAAAAAAAAAAACTTTCCTGGATTGGCTGTTGCCCTTCTATGGCTTTTTCCGGGTGTTGTTTGTGCCATCAGTATGTTGAAAAGGACATTACATCTATAGGATAATTTAGATAATCATAACTGTTTATGTTTAGAACACAATATATGTTTCTGTTTGTCTAAAGAGGTCCACGTTTGTGTGAACTGTACACAAGTAACCCAACAATTTGTGAGTCCAATGTGAATGTGTACTTGCATTTATAAATCTGCGCTATTATTATTTTATTATTGGGATGACAACATAAGATGATAGTCCCAAGACTGGCTACAAACTACTTCTCTTCCTTTGTATACACCTATGATGCAGACAGTTTCACAAAAGAAAGACTAAATGCAAAATTAACAAAACAACTTAGTAATGAAAAAGGTCAAGGTCTGCTTTCAGTGACACATAGTCTTTAGTACTTAAGTAGTTTTTGTCATCTAGATGTGCAACTTATTTTTTAGTAAATTAATGAAGTCAGTGCCATTCATTATTCAAATCTAAAGCTTGTTGCACATTAAACAGCAAATGTGATAAAAAGCAACATTTAGTGTGCACTGTTGGATCAAGTTGTTGATCACGTTTGGCAAAGTGATGAGGACTGACATAATCAATTTCTCAAATCTAATCTATTTGTTTTTTTAATCAGCTGTTTTTCTTTTTTAACACCATGGAGTCTATTACAGGCCCAACTAGACCACATCTTCTTCCTAGGCTGAACCGGTCAATCTGTGCACTCCACTCAAACAAACACCCACTTCCAAACTTCAATCAGGTGTGAAAGACCTCCACCTACCTTCTACCACCCCCTCCCCCCTTACGTCCTGGCAAATGTTGTATTTGGTGAAAAGAATTCGCCCCACTGTTTTCCCTACCCGCGTTTGTCCCCACCGAGCTTACCGAGAAGCAACAGTTTCCGTTCCCGGCGTGCGTCCCTCTTATCCCGGCGGAGCTGCCTTTCGATCTCGTCGTTGATCCGCCTGGCTTCCTTCGCCTCCTCGCTCAGGCAACACGCCATCATGGATTCCAGGGTCATTCTCTCCTCCTTAAAAAAATAAAAATAAATCAGCATACACTTTCCACCTTTCCTTCTTACTGATTCTTACAGATATCCGATTTGCGGGAGTATAACAAGATAACACACGGAGGCCTGTGGATGTGAAATAACGTCTGCCTACAGACCTGTTTGCGGTGAAATACACGCGTGGATGCCCTTATAATAAGCCCGAACAGCGCACAGATTGTGCGGGAAAAGACGAAGATAAGACGTAGAGAATGTTAGTGTCTCCCCATCCCCTGGTTCGGTTTGCTTTCCGGGCTTCCAGGTGGCTTCAATACAAAGTTTGAGACTGAATATCTGTGCGATCTTAATTGGTGTAATCTGCTTTTCCCTTCTCAATATGATCAACAGATCCCTTTAAGACACATCCTTTGTGCAGCTTAGACTGATCCCGTTAGACATTACCATCCGCAACTTCATTAAAGTCTTCAATATTACACATGTGACCAAAACATCAACCAAAACAATCCCTGGCGTGTTTGTCCAAGTTATCGTCGTGAATCAGGCGAAAGGTGGAAGGACATAAATAAAGCAGACCCCGTTTATTTTCCAGTGACTCGACTCCTGGGCGTGGTAAGGCAGAATATGGCGGACTTTCACTCCAATCCGCTAGGCAGGAACACAGTACAGTTATCGCTCTCCGTCTAAAAAAAAAAAACCCAAACAAACAAACAAAAAAAACCCAAGAAAGCCGCACATAACACCGGAGCCCACGACACAGCGAGGGGGGTATATATCCCAGATTCACGTCAGCGGCTGAAAACCATCCACTCCTCCACTGGCAGGCTGACGTCGGCCTCGCATCGACAAGGGGGAGTGTCACGTCAAAGCAACGCCACAGAGTATTTATACCCCAACCTGTGGAACAGAAAATATGTACCACAGGAATGGATGGAGTGAACTCATGCCTCTTTCACCTATGGCGTAAAGTCACCTAAAGTTTCATTTTTTTTACTCATTGACTACGACGTAACGTAATTAACAACGCGGAATCGCGGTATAGTAGACATTGAATATAGTCATAATTCATCAATGACCAATGAGGAAAAAAGTATTTTAGCGTCTTTCTTTTTGTTAACTAGTTTGATTTTTTTTTACAATGAGCCATTCATTATTTACAATACATGAAAAGCGATCAAATATATCGCAAAGAAACATCACATTTTTAAATAAAGGTACAATTTGAAGAATTTCTAAAATAAAAAAACACTCAAGTATTTTTAATGAGTGAATGTATTAACATTGTGTTTATTATTCAAACATCGAATGTGAAGGTTTCTACGGGCTTTTTTGTTGTTTGTTTTGTTGTGCAGAATGGCTGACAGACAAAATTCACACAATAATATGATGTGAAACATACCTAGTATTTCTAGTATTGTCTCATAAACTAGCAACTAAATTTCCATGATCTTATTACCATGTACTAGATGAAGTATGCAGTTATTAACTATACAGTTATATCCTAATGAAATAAATGTGGTAATGCTTCAAATTTAATAGCCATCCACCATTAAACAATTGTGTGCACAAAAAGCAAAAATTGATTTGACCTGATGTAACTCATTTACAGACTTGCACTGGGGACATCAGAGTGACTTATTGTCTAATTGTATGTTTTTACCAATAGCTTGATCCTTTCCTTAACAATCAAACTGAGCAGAAATGTCGAATTACAAAAAAACAAACATACATACCATAGGTTGGTGACATTGTAACCTGTAATTTAATGTTCAGTGTGATCTAGTTGTAAGGAAGAATTGTCTCTCTGGACTAGATCATGATGTAGGACAGAAACCATAGTATTTTATTGTACTTAAAGACATTTGATTTTTAGTGGTCTACACAAACATATTTTTTATTTGTTTTTTGTGAAGCTCTCCTTTGCAGGCATGTTCTAACCAGATATCTGATGTTAGATTTATTCTAATTAATTCTGCGTTATTGTTTCGCTTGGTGGTTGTTCTTCTGTTTATATTTCACACCCTATATTTCTTCTTTGCTTTTATTCTTTTCCTGCAGGTAGTTTGTACACTGAATCAAAACAACAATGGTGACTAAGACCACTTTTTAACTGTGTTATCGTCATATAGATACAACCTGGCAGAATTTTAATAGGCTTGTTTGTTAGCTTAAAATGCATTAAAAAATACATTTGAACTAAAGAAGAACTAAACCGGACTTTTAATTTGTAAGATTTGTGTCTAACGTCTCCTACCGGATTCTTGTGTCACGTGACCACACCCTGGCCTGGATACGGGAGAGCGTCGCTCTGCTGTCGCTACGGGGAAAAGGAGGAAAGGCTGTGCTGTAGTTAAATGACATTTTACTAAACCTTGGTAAACACATGGGACTTTTTACTGCCATGGCATTCTGACATATTTTCTTTCCATTTGCTGAGTCAATCACTCATTTACGACATTTATGCAGCGAACGCAGTGTACTGTATTGGCATTGCAGATAAAGATTAGTTAGCATGCTAGCAAGTTAGCCAGAGATCCGTTCACTCAGTATCGCACAGCGACCACACCTGCGAGTGACAGGTAAGAAATATGTCACTCATCTCTTGTCACTTACAGCAGTGTGTGTAATGTACACATTGATTCCATAGCCCACGTTCGCAATTAGAAACTTTAAAAAATAGTTCACTCCACAGAAGTTGTTTATAGACATAAATTCTTTGTGACAGTAGTCATAGGCTGTAAGGTGAACCACAAAAAGTCCTTTAGAAATTGAATTCCGCTCCGACGTCTGGGAACTACACGATCTCAACTTTATAAAAAAGAACGAGTTACGTTCGAACAAACGTTCGTCGTTGTCATTGATTACTTTCTTTTATCGATCAAAATGACTTAACATACAAATTTCACCTTATCGTCTATTTTCCTCATTGTTCTTCGTGCAGGCGGCTATGTATAAAGCACTGTTTAGAATCCATTTGGCCCACTTTAGAAGACTTGGGAGTAGTGATGTGCGGATCGATCCTGAAATATCGATACTTCCGATTCTGGATCTTTATGCTCTGAAATCGATTCTGAAATCAAAATATCGATACTTTTGATACTTACGCATTCTGAGATGAGGTGTATCCTAAACAGAAACATGGTGAAAAGTATCCAAATTATTGAGATGTTGTCTAAGTGACGCTCGGTTGGTGGGACTACTTCTTCTTCCGCCTGGGTGTGTGCGTCATGCGTAAGCACAGGGGCTCTACTCCGTGCTCTCACTCAGTCACTATTGATGGGAATTTCGGCTCTTTTTTGGAGAACCGGTTCTTTTGGCTCGGTTCACTGAAAAAATCCGACTCTTTCGGGTCCCAAATGGCTCCTCAGATTATTTATTTTATTTTTTTATTTATTTTTGTTTTACAAATAACATGTTTTCAGAGTTTGAAACATTGTTTTGACATATTTTATATGATTGTGTTCTCAAGGTTTTCTATTGTTGTGTTGACTGTATAGTAAATGAGGCAGCTACCTCAGTACACTCCAGAGTTTAAAATAAATAAATAAATAAAAACCTCAGCCTCGGATTCTTAAAGAAGCTATGATTTGAAATACACATGTTTTATTTAAAAGACAAATGATAAAATATCGATAACGGTATATGCGATACCAGCCCGAATTTTACTCGGTATCGGATCGGAAAGGAAATTGGTGGTATCGAACATCACTACTGTTAAGTTTCTGTATTATTTATGTTCCACAAGTATATCAGGGGAGAGCGCGGACGCAGTCCCCCACTACCAGAAATTATGCAGTCGAGATTCCCACATTTGGGGAATTCGCAGGGGTCAGCACAGCCGGAGTGCAATGGCTAAGCCTCGCCCTGGGTGAACCACCTTCTTGATCATGGTATCTCCCCTGCCAGGTAAGTATGAGTTGTACACGGGTTACACTGCCAACCCATACACTCGGAAACCCTTCTTACTGATGGTGCTACCACCTGGAAACGCATTCAAACAAAGCACATTCAAGCACTACCACACCAATGTTATAATTTATAACAAAACATAAAATAAACACACACACACACACATATATATACAGAGAACGTAGTATGTTTAAAATGGAAAAAAGGAGGATTATTATTATGAAGCGTAACTTTATGAAGTTGAGAGTCTACAGGTAAAATGTACTCCTTACAACTCTCCCTGTGTAATCCATAGACCATCATATTTAGTGAGCATTTGAATGCTATTAGCATCATTGATAAAAAACAATTATTCATCCATCCATCCATTTTCATCCGCTTATCCATTACCGGGTTGCGGGGGCAGCAGTTGTTACCCAAATCACACTGCACTGTACCAACCCCCTGAACCTGCCTGCGGTTGGTGAGTCCACTGGAAGGTACCAACCGCCCTAACCAGGATTCGATCTTGCCCAGAAGGTGAACCCTGGGGTTCCACACCAATGACAGAGACATTGCCGCTGGGCCAAAGCGCCATAAAAAACAATTATGTTAATATAAATAATTGAGAGAACAATTCTAAGTCAGAAAAGCATTTTCTATCTGTTTGCCTTAGTTTTTAAGATAAGGTAAGATTTTATTCATCCTACACCAGGTAAATTCAGTAAAAGGCACTGCTGGGATTTAAACCCAGGATCTCCGGGTCAGTCAGGTCATACCGTATGAACCTGCTCATCAAGGATCTATCAACACTGTCACAAACCTCAACCCTGATCTTTGCATCTCTGGTGGAAGTGATCAGGTAAAGTGGTGATTTTTGTGACTAATATTGAAAATGTACAAATAAAATCTGACTGTGAAGAGATTTCAAATTAGCCTCTTACATGAAATGCTACATTTACAGTGCCGTGAAAAAGTATTTGCCCCCTTCCTGATTTCTGTGTTTTTTGCATATTTATCACACACAAAGGTTTCAGATCATCAAACCAATTTTAGTATGACACAGAGACAACCCAAGGAAATAGAAAATGCAGTTTCTAAATGATGATTTTATTTACCAAGGGAGA